GTATGTAAGCAAGAGTGAGTGACCGAGAGTTCGGGGGATGAGATAGTCCACAGGTCACTTCTGCCCAAGGTTGTGATACTGATGGAAGAACGATAGTGCCATGTGGAAAACGCTTGGACATTATGCACAAATAGCCGAGACATTTGGTGGCATCTCTTGCAAAAAAAAAAAAAAAAAAAAAAAAAAACCTATTAGATAGGCTGGGGGCAGGGCGCGAGACAGTAAGTGCGAGATTGGATACAGTGTTGGTGTGGCCAAAGAGTGGCGACATTGACATTCGAGTTCATTGTATTGCTCTTATTTGGACGGTATCTTGGTGCATTGCACTCTTTGCTTGGTTCATGACCTGTCTCTTATACACATCTGGACCAAAAAAAACAAAAGAAGGAAAAAAGAAAAAGAAAAAAGAAAAAAAGGATTCAAGAGGGACCAAGAGAAGGGGAGATGCAAGACAACCAACCCGGGAATGGAATAGTGCATTTATCAGCGGCATCTTCCTTTTTGAAGTTACTTTGCCATGTTCTCTTTCCAGATAATGAAGAGGGCTCTGAAGTTGGCATGTGCACACTCACAGCAAAGCAGATCAGATTCATGGTCAGGTGCACTCATACTCTATCTAGCTTGAATAGTGCGCCTTGGCCAAGTGCACCTGGCCGTCAAAGAGGCCAGGTGCATCAGGACAACTGCCTTGATTAATATCATGTGAATGCAAGTAGTCAAGGAAGTTGGAGGGGCAGAAGAGGGACGCCAAGGAGATCAGGGGCAGAGAGAAAGCTACTGTCTTCCGCAGAAAGAACGTACCGTCATTATAGCCGTATTTGGGGCAACTTCCAGTCCGGGGATACAGTGAAAATGACGAAAACCGACGGAACGTTCTATTTTGGGCAAGACGGGGTAGCCGCTGTTGATAGTGCTTCTCCTCCTCCTCCTCCCCCTCCCAACTCCAAAAAGCAATCAAAGCTACAGGTGGTCAGTTCAGGTGCAGGCCACAGTGGTGCTGTGTTCGAGTAACTTCGTACCGAGAAAGACCAGAGTGACCGATTTGATCCCTAGGCGCATGCTTTCAAGTTCTCCGCGCAATTGTAGCAGCAGCAGGACTATTGCTGACAATGATCCGCAGGCTTCTGCGTAACCTCTGGGGGATGTGTGACCCCTCACTTCATTGGATATTATTGCTGCCAACCTCTTGGGTGTGGAGTTCTACCAATGTCTATATTCTCTCGCGGTGTGCTGAATGATGCCAGACTAACAACTATAGCGGTGGAACCTGCGTACGTCTTCTCACAGGGTACAGCCTCTTCCTACCTGTAGCTCCTGACTATGGAGGCATACCCCTCTCTCTCTCTCTCTCTCTCTCTCTCTCTCTCTCTCTCTCTCTCTCTCTCTCTCTCTCTCTCTCTCTCTCTCTCTCTCTCTCGCGCGCGCGCGCGCGCGTGCTGTATACGCCCACTACCACCTCCTTGCTATGGAGGTGTAGTTAGTCTGTACCTTCCAGTGGTGACCCGAATTCCATTTCTATCTCACAGCAGCTAACCAACTCTCCCTGGACAAGCTTCAGGCTTCTCTATTGCTCTGCTACACCAAATTACATCCTGGTCAGGCATTCAAATATTGTACAGTGGCTACAGTCCAATAATTCAGCTATGGAGTGCCCATCCCTGCGCACTTCCCTCTCCTTGTTCCTACGAAGGCTCACTCACCTGCTTGGCCTGTATCCGTACCTTCCCCCGCTCTCAACATCGCCACCTCCCACCAGCAGATGATGTTCTGCACTTTATCCATAAATTCAGGCCAGAATCAAATTAAAAAAATCCAGTGTTGTTCTCATAATGACATACCCTATCCGGGTCGAAGCTAGTCGGTGCCTGTGCTCCAACACCTGTCTTGCGCCGATCGCATTGCACCCTCGTTATGGAGAGATAGCTTTGTATACATTCATGCTTTCTGGAGATATAGCTTTGTATACAAAAGGAGCCAGGCCCATAAGGACCTGTTTTTGTTAAAAAAAAAAAAAAAAAAAAAAAAAAAAAAAAAGCTTTGTAAGTTTGTATACATTCCTGCTTTCTGTTCTGATGAAGACGGCAGTCGGTGCAACATCTGGACCTGGTCCAATGGATTCCTGTCGCTTGCATGTGGTCAACATCTGGTTCAGAATCCAGATCATCGTTCTGTCTGTCACCCATCTATTGTCAAAGGCAGTTCGTAAGTGCCTTTCCTGAATGCTCTGTAGTATGTACACGCTATTGCCCTGGCCCCCTTAGAACCCACCTCATACCCTTATCCCTTCTTGCTGACCTCCACCTCCATGCCCTCTTGCCTCTTGCAGAGCACCCCCCTGTAATGCATGTGCAATCCAATCCAATGGGCGCCCGCTGATCAAAGGGCTTCCAAATAGGCATGTAGCGGTATGTAAGCAAGAGTGAGTGACCGAGAGTTCGGGGGATGAGATAGTCCACAGGTCACTTCTGCCCAAGGTTGTGATACTGATGGAAGAACGATAGTGCCATGTGGAAAACGCTTGGACATTATGCACAAATAGCCGAGACATTTGGTGGCATCTCTTGCAAAAAAAAAAAAAAAAAAAAAAAAACCTATTAGATAGGCTGGGGGCAGGGCGCGAGACAGTAAGTGCGAGATTGGATACAGTGTTGGTGTGGCCAAAGAGTGGCGACATTGACATTCGAGTTCATTGTATTGCTCTTATTTGGACGGTATCTTGGTGCATTGCACTCTTTGCTTGGTTCATGACTATCTTCTGAGCTACTTCGTCATTTTGCAACTGGGATTTTCCGTCTATCGCTCTCTCTCTTATATTCCTAGGGGGCGTGTTTCAACAAAAAAAAAAAAAAAAAAGAGTCCTCTAAGGGGCTCGCCGCACTTCTTTTTACTGAGCTTATTCCACTATGCATTTTTGCCTTTCACATTGTGTTGTTGTTGCAGGTATGCTGATATCTATACATCACGGGTATCCAACTTTCTGCGCTACACACCATTCATGTACTTCAGGTCCCCAAGCCAGGTAAGAGCGCAAACAAAAAACTTGAAAAAAGTGAACGAACCTTTCGCAGGCTTCACTCGCTCGTCATTAACCAGAATTTTATTCTTCTTTTTTTTTTCCCATCGAGGGAGAGGGGCTGATCCATTCTGACTATTCATGGGCCGATCATGTGCTGGCAATCGGGCCCAGCGTTGCACATCCCACATGGGCGTAACACTGCACCATTGATTACTCTGATTACTCTGAGAGTCTGACTGTGTGAGAAGATTGACTGCCAGTGTCTTTGTAAAAGGTGGAGGCGAAAGACCGCCTCTTCAGCCCTGTGAAGGGCCGCCGGCTGCTTACACTAGTAATCAAGCTAGGCTTTCTACCTTATGTGCTCACTCTATCATTCCTGTCCATACCATGCCAAGAAAAAAAAAAAAAAAAAAAAAAAAAAAAAAAAACCCTCCACCAAACTATTTCCTGGTGGAGGGAAGCGATCAGGAAACTCGAATTCTGGTCTCAAGGGAAATAGAATGTCAAATGTTCATCCCGTCCATGAAAAAAAAAAAGCAAAAAAAAAAAAGAAAAAAAGGAATATAAAGTGTCCGTCCCGTCCATTAATTATAGTTGCACCCCTTGGGTCCTCCGTACATCGCCTGTTATTATTTGGCAATTGCCCTTGAGCTTGGAGAACTTTGGACTGCTCAGCCATTCTGCTTCAAAAATTGTATTCTGTCCTTCTTCTCCTTAGGCTCTCACGTAGATGTTTGATTCTTTTTTGAGGCGTTGCCTGCCATTCCATCAGAATGTTAGATTGGAGGAATTATGCGATTCTTTCATGTATGTTAGATTGGAGGAATTATGCGATTCTTTCATGTATGTTAGATTGGAGGAATTATGCGATTCTTTCATGTATG